CGGGCGGTGGGGCGGGGCAGAGCGCGGCCAATCCGGGGTGGCCGGCGGACGGGGGAGGGGCGCGCCGCCAGCCAATGGCTGGGCGCGGGGGTCTTGGCTCGGACCAATGGCAAGCCACGCCAGGACACAGTCGCCGGAGCCAATCGGGCAGCGGGGAGGTGAGAAGGCCACGCCCCTCCTTGCCCACGCGGGACCCCGGGACTCACGGGGGTCCGTACTAGGGTCACGCGGGGGGACCGGAACCAGCCTGTCCCGCGTGGGCTGGGACCCACTACCCCGCTGTGCCGCGTGGCACGGGACTGCCACGCCAGGGTCACGCGTGGCCTGCAAGGGCCACCCCACGCTCACATAGGGACCAGAACCACCCTGTGCTGCACGGCCACACAGGGAGCCAGACTCGCTCTGTCTCACAGGGGCTGCGAGCACCATGCCACGGGCACACCTGGAACCGAAGAGCCCTGGCGGCGCGGCGCGGGGAGTGTCCACACCAGCCCCCCGCGCTTGACTGGGCCCCAGCCCCCCGCAGCACCTACGTGGATCCCCCGGCCGGCCGGCCGGGCCGTGCACATCCTCCCCACGCTCGCCGGCCTCGTGCACCGCACGGGCACACGACCGCCCAGGACTCTCCCAGCTGTGGCCCCACGTGACAGCATCGGCCACCCCTCCGCTCTCGCTTGGGCCGCAACAACTCTCTTCCTCCGTCCTTTCATCACGCCGCCGTCCTCAGCCGTCTGTGCACAGGTTGCTCCTGTCCACTGTCTTGCAGACGCAGAGACGTGCAGCTACGCCACTCCCTCCAAAAAAGTGGCCCCCCCATCCTTGCGCTTTTACCCTCCTCACTCACCCGGGGCTGGCGTCCTGGCCTGCGTCGGCACCCTCTCTCCCCTGGGCGCAGGAACCTTTTCAGCTCCTACCACCTCGGACTTGTCAGGGCTTCGTCCGATTCCAAACCTCAGCTAAAACACCAGTGACTTTGCAGACACCTCCTCCCGCCTTTCCAAAAACAAAAACAAGAATACTTTGCAACTGCATCATCTGATTCTGCAAAGCAGTGGGGAATGCAGATCTTGCTGTCTAGCGAGTGCCTGTCTTGCCAAGCCAAGCAACAGCTGCCTTGCTGGCAGCACACAGCCATCAGGCTGCCTTCAAGCCTCAGAGGGCACTCGTCCACGCCCGGCCCCGACATATGCACGGGTCCACGCCCCAGGTTGGCAGTCCTGCTGGTCCCACCTGGGACGGCTGACCGCACTCTGACCTGGAACCTCCAGCAGGAAATGGGGATGGGTGCATTAGGCTGTATTTGCTTTGGGACCAACAAGCATCTGCAGCATGAGGCAGAGAACGTGCCCGGCCTCAGAGCCAGGCTGATAGTTCAGCTGATGCCAGAGATGCCCCTAATTCAACCCCCAGCTACAGAGTTGGGCACTGTCACTCATGGGCTAAGGAAGAAGAATTCCCTCCACTGCCAGAAGTCTATGGCCTGTCACGCTGAAGGTCAGCTGATACCTTCAAAACAGTCTCTTCATGCCATACACTTAATCAGCGCTGAGACTCAGTTCTCCAAAAGCTAATGAGAATGAAAACTAGAACCTTACATTTGTCATTAGCCAGCTAATCCGACCCAAACCACAGAGGAAGCAGGTCTGCTGAGCATTTATACTCCTTGCAGGGGAGGCCAGGGGAGCCCACCACACCTGAGGGCAGCCAGCGAAGAGCCCGAGCACAGCTTGGGAAGCCCGGAGGGTGCGAGTTTCTGAAGATGCAGAAAGGGGCCTGCCACCGTCACAGCCCTGCAGCAACCAGAGCAGCACGCTCCCAAAAGGATGCAGCCGGACATGCTTCGTGGGGCTGTGACCAAGGGGAGGAAAGGCTTCGTAGCTGCTGCACAGCTCAGAGACTGCGCACAGGGAGGACAGCTGTCCCCTCCTCGGTCTCCAGCCGCGCCACTTCAGCTCCCACAGGCTCCGTGGGTGACCTCCTTTTGACACAGGTGCAGATAAGCAAGAGGCTAGTTAGTTAAGACAGATAGTGACAGGGCTCTGGCTTGTCATTCTGGAAACTCTACTCCACGTGATCAGGTGTCAGCATGCTGGAAAGCACCCAGATTTCCTGCCAGGCTGGATACCAAGGAGGGATGCACCGTCCACCCATGGAGAACAGGTGCTGCAAGCACCCCTCTGCAGGGAGCTGCCGACACACCCTGGCATGAATTAGGGCAATGATTAGTGGAGTGATGTAGCTCGAGTAATAGGGCTTTAGTTTGAACATGTTCCCACTTAGCTCACACATTTTCTCCTCGAGCAGATGTCACACTGCATGTTGCTAGGCGATTGACAGCTGGGGAGTAATTAAGTCTGATTAAATCCCACCATATTGCCCTGCTGCTTTTCCAGAACTCTCTGGAGCTTTTTGGTTCAAAGTGACCAAGTGAAAAGGAGAAATTGTAAATGAGCCCTGGCCGACAGAATGAGATCTGCACAGTGCACGGTGCCTTCCAACAGCCAAACAGCCCCCAATCCTGCAGGTTTCTCCTCTTTGCTAACCAAGCGAGTTACCTCCCGAGTACTCACATCAGCTGCATGCAAACCATTGTAGATCCCCCTGTTCGGAGGCCGCAGTGCTCCCCTTGCAGCTCCCATGTCACAGAAACTCTCTCTCTC